GAGCAATAGTGGAAATATTAAAAATGTAAATGAAACGTTGTGACCTCCAACGATAGAACAACACTTGGCATCCATTAATTTTAATATATAACGTTGGATGAAGAGATTTATTTGCTAAGTTTTCATAAACAGGCAGTTTTGTTCCACATTAGGTCCAACAGCACTAGAGGGCGTCACGACCAGGCTAGCTTTTGTCCCACTAGCTTCTGTGACTCAATGCAATCTCTAATTGAGGATTTGTTTCATCGCGCTTCTGAAATAGTTAAATGTGTTTATGAAGTTTACTATTTATATTCTAACATAAGCGAGTGCAGATCACTTGCTATTGTACCCCTTTGGGATTTGGACATAGTTAAACAATTTGTTTGTCATTTGTTGGTAATTTAAAAGCTACAGCTCCCATAATGTTTTGTTTTTTTTCCCAGTGCAGCAGCATATTATATGTTTCCTTATCATTATTCGGTATCATTATGTTCGCCCGTTTGGATTGAATTAAAACTTTACAGCAGCAGAACATTATTTTTTGCTGACCTCCAGTACTTTGCTACAGGGATGCAGTGACATCACTGTTTGATGTCTTAACAGGGATAACAGTACACACTTTTGACCAAACCCATCAGTTTCATCAGTGATACGCAGCGTGGGGTCAGATATAACACATTTTACATTTTCATCCAATCTTTCAGCCTTAGAATGAGGTAACTCTTGAATAAAACAGGATATGCTGGAACCTGTGCAGACTAAAGAGATTGAAAATTAAATTCTCATAGCCCATAAACAACAATATTACTTTTTGAAAATGTATGATCCCTTTCTAAATAAGTGGGGGGAACTGCACCGGAGTCATACTGTTGAGTAAGGTTTTGTTGTAGTGCTGACTTTTTTAGTGATGTGGATTATTAAAAACGCCGGTGTGATTTAGTGTGAGGTTCTTTAGTACTTCTGGATCTAAACTGGTGAGTTGTGATTTCATTCAGCTCTTTAAATACTAAAGTAGCTGTAGCTTGCTGTGGTTTATTGTCTGACAGCACAAACTAAAAGATCTCCCTCTTTATGCATGACAAGGACATTTTTGTCCGAGCAATACAAAGTTGCCCAACCTCCTCGGGTATGACTGATTGATTAAGTAGTTGAGACAGCCGTTTTTCATCCATCTATCATGGCGTGGCAAAAGATTGACCCCAAGCACTCCATTCAGTGATAAAAGCCGCTGCTGACTCTTGGCCAGCCTTCTTTGCTTGGCGCATCACGTGTGTCCATGTGACAGCCCAATCACGAAAATGGAATGCGTTAATGGAGACGGAGATGGCCGCTCTCCCCCGTGCGCTAGCCCCTCATCATCTCACCTCCTAACATATTGTTTTAGCAAATATAACTGCTGTCACTGGAGGCGGGATGGATGGCGTCTTACAGTTAATAGGCTCTAAATCAAAGCCGCAGCACGGACGGCCAACCACAAAGCGGGAGAGCTGTCTACTTAGACCTCCGCTCAAGGTTACCATTGCGATTGCGGACGGACTGAATTTGTTCTCTTACTGTCTTCTCTGCCACAGTTAATACCCTTCACTGCTTTCTCTCTTCTGTTCCTCTGCCATATACATCTCAATGGCTCACTATCTTCCACTTTTACTTCACACTGGCTCTTTCTCATTCCACATCTTTCTCTGTTTAATCCACTACTTTGCCTGCCCTCTGCATCTCTCTCTACTTCACTATCTCAGTCATTCGCCCTCTCCCCGGCTGTCTCAGCACCCAGTCTAGCTCTACAGTGAGGCTTGTCGTAACTCTGTCTTTGTCTCTTATTCAGTTTTTCTCCTCACCTGCCCTGCTTTCTGCCCTTTCCCTCTATTTCCCATTTTCTCCCAACCTTCTCTACATTTCTCTTTCTCTCTCTCAAATCTAGTCAAAGGGTTTAATTAGCCTCCATTCATTTAGTGAAGGACACGTGTACTTTCATGGTGATTGTCTGTCCGCTTCATTTATCCGTGAAGCTATTGAATAGCAGGAGGCAGCAAGTATTGATGAAACTGTGAAAGGAAGAAGACCAACGGAATGTGAATGCAGTTGTAGGCAGGTGCAGCGCACTTAGCCTGTGTGTTGTTGGGCGGTTCTCTATCCAAGGACATGCAAGCCGAGTGAATGCCAATGCAAATCTATTGAAATTCAATTTCAAGTGCTCTTCACAAAAGCACCTGGCACAGAACATATTCAGGGGTGAATGTCCTCTTCCGCGCTACAGACACTGAATACAGTGAATGAATAATAAATTGGTCAATTGTCAAGGACTATGGACCTCGTCTTTCAAAAAGTGCCCACGTTTGACCTGTGCTATCAACAGGAACAAGGCCATGGAGCACATTACACAGCCGGGCTTGCTCAGATCAACTTGGATTTGCATCGACTTGCATGTGGTTGCATCACATTATCAAGATTATTCTGTTTACCCTGGCAGTGCATCTTCTATCTAATGGTTTGGCATGCAATTTAGAACCCAGGAATAGCTGTTGCTAAGGCAACAGCTAATATGAATCCAGATATGGTATCATGAGAGTGGAGAAGGAAATACAATCTAATAAATTCTATTCTTAAAGCTACACTAACCGGTTTTTAATAGGATGCCGGAAGCCTTCAAAACAATCTCACAGAAGCATAGCCCCGATAGTGCATTGGCTTGGCAAGTTGTTAAAGCTAACACGTTAGCAAACAGTTGCCCAATATAGCAGAGACAGAGCAACATTAGCATTAGCCTGTTCCAGACCTCTGAATTGCCACCCACGGATTTGATTCAGCTATTCAGATCGTTCTGGTGCCCATTGATGGTTTCCCACGTGTAGAGAAATGACTGACTAATCAAAGCTTAAGGATAAAGAATGGGGTAGCTATCCATCTACATTCATGAAAAACAGCAACGGAGAAGCAGCTGTACAGTTCGCTGTAAATCATCTTACAGAAATAACTCTTGACTTTCCGGCCACTTGATGCATATTTGGTTGCGTTTTAGGTCTTGTTTGGTTCACCAATTCCAGAAGGCTGCAGTGCTTCCCTTGCTCTACTCAACTTTCTTCATTAGTCACTTATTTCCTTCCTCTTTCCTTTGTTTCATGTTAGGCAGATAAGGTACACACTGTTTTATCTGGAAACAGCCACATAACATTTTATAAACGGGGAGTGGTGAGACTCAACCTTACAGTCTACCACAGAATGCACTAAGCTAAACACAGCAGTAAGCTAAAAGTGGCTAAAAGCTGAATAGAGCTGCAGGGTTGGGTGAGTGCTATGGTAACAATTTTTTCACATGAATCAGACAGTGTCCATTGGGACTCTATTCAGATATTCCAGCTGATTAGACCTGTGGTCAGGTTGAAATTGGATGGCGCTATGCTGTGATTTATTTGATGGCACCAAACTCAGTGTAGCCTACTAATTATCTGGGAAATCGAGGGGAAATAAATGCCCATTCCAAGCTGGAATTGCACCAATAATCTAATGAATGCAGAGCAGGTCCTATCAGGTCCTATCAGGCAAGATAAGTGAAAAAGTGTAGGTGGTTAAATATAACAAATACTGTATACAGGCACTTCAGCAACGCATTACGCACATTGCATATTTAAGAGCGCAAGGGCTTAGACACCCATGGTGTACTTGCACAGGTGTTTTCACATATTTTGTTTGATTAGACCTCTTAGTCAGAACTGTGTGGTAATGTACTGACTGTGCTTGATTGTTTGGTGACACCATGTAAGTCCCAGCAAACCTTTGCCCAACTGAGCAGAGGTTTAATCAGCCAGACTAAACACTGTGTGCAGTGTGTCTTTTAGATGAACTGCTTTAGTGGCATGATTCTTACTCTACAGTCTCTATTTACAGCGTATACAACTTATAGTATGCTCAAGCACACTGATGAACTGAATGACCAGAAGAATTCTGGAGTAAAGCAGTCAAGCCTCTGTGTGGAGTGCTTTACTTTGAATAGATTGAAAATCGAGTGGTGCAACCTTTAGTGCTTCAGCGCCCGCCTCTCATGGACCCTCTGCTTTTCGACCTCTGTCTCCTCTGATGAAGACAAATAGCCCTTTCCCACTGGCTGCATAGAAGCTTTAAGGAACCTTCTTTAGCGAGAACCAACTAGGACACGCTGCACAAGGTGGTTCCTATGCGGATCATTTTTTTTACCAAGAAATCTGCAATGTTAATGTCGTGTTATCTCTGATTATAAATTAATGAATGCCAAAGTCAATTATGGTTCGCTCCTTCGTCTTTGATGAATTCAGGAAGCTCCCAAACATCAACACCAACTTCGTAGAACCCGGCAAGACAATAAGCTCGGCCAGCTAATTTATTTATATGCAATAACAACAAACATGAGCATCAACACATATGATAAATAAACTTAATGTGTGTCACATCAGAATATTCTAAACAAATTACAACTCTTTACTGTACATACAATTAACTTCAGCCTCTCCTTTTCCTCATCTTTGTCCGTCCCTTTCAAACATTTCAATACTGTCAGATTAAGTAAAAACCATTATTAACGGTGTGTGTCTTCCAAATGTATTCAGGCCTTCACCTTAAATGAGTCCTAACTTTTATTCCACAGCACTTATGGATTCCCACTCCTTCCTCCAAGTTACCAGGAAGCATTATACTGTATATCATGGGATGTAGTTTTCAAATATTTTGCGCCATGGATAAAAATGTTTCGGACAATATCATTAATACAACATAATAGTATTACCTTCATAATGAGGCCTTTAACAGCTCGTTTCCAGAGGAAAAGCTGATGAAGCTGTTGAACGTCACTCAGCTAAAGAGGTTTGAAAAATCAAAATCGATCATTCGGCTCTGAAGTTGAAGTTTGAGGCTTGAGGTATCAATGCAGAATACTGATTAATAGTATGGTTTTATCTACACCACAAGTATGTTGCACTGCTGTAAAAGCAAACCACATCTAAACCAGCTTTGTTCTCCCCCCTCTCTCCTCTCTTTTTTCTCTTCAGATATTGACGAGTGCGCTGAGGGGAAGCACTACTGCAGGGAGAACACCATGTGCGTTAACACCCCTGGCTCCTTCATGTGCATCTGCCATACGGGCTACATCAGGATCGATGACTATTCCTGCACAGGTGAGTTCCTCTGCTGACCTTTTGACTAGCTGGAATCAAGTGGAGAAGGCACTGTTTTCTCTTCCGGCTTTGTGAGCTTCAGCTTCCACAGCAACCATTTTGTGAAGAGAGTTGCTGGCGGACTTAAAGTACGTACAAATAAGGACGATATCATGTTGTTGTATGGGTGCGGAGACGAGGAGAGACACGCATGTATAAAGAGATTCAATAGGAAGATATGTCTTCACTGCAGGTTTCTACTGCATTGGCTTTTAAAGCATTTATAAACCTACGGTAGGTTACTGCCAGATAGAAATGATTTAATTAGCACCTTTAGTCATACACAAGAGGATGATATTTGATTTCATTATGATAAATTCTGCAGCAAAGAGACACACACAGACACACAGACTTCTAGAGACAGAGAGAGGAAGAGGCAGCCAGACATCCAGATATAAACATAGTGAGCCATCAGTGTCAGAGTGCAGTGTGAGACAGAATAAGGAAGCCGTGTAATAGAAAATCATGCAACGACAGAGAGACATAGTTATCATACAACACCTGTAGAACACACTGTAGATCCTCGCCGTGTGTTACACTGCCTCTCCCTTTTTCTGTTCGTCATATCCCAGACGGCACCTTCTTAGACACACTTGTGAATCTGTCACCCTACAATTATGCACGGTCTGTTCATTAGATATGCGGAGGGATGAATGTCTCAGTTTGATTTGCTCCTATTGGATTTGCTCTGATTACCAGCATCACATTAAAATACAACACACACACACACACACACAAATCAATAACAGCCACTACTTTATGATGCAGCATAAGCTAGCAATAGAGAAAAGATTGAGCAGTGAGAGAAAGTGTCGAATCAATTTTGGGCTGCTTTGGGTAGATTACGGAGCGCATCTGTCTCCCTAAATTTGTCAAAATTTGTATTTGTCAAACTCTGCAATTTTGCGTATTTATTCTCTAAAAAAGTATTAATATGAATCTCCAAACTCTATTATATTGTGACATAAGCTAGTTGTGTGTTATATGATATATTCGCAACTCTGAGCTTTTCAAAAGTGATTCCCGTAGTTGTCGTGTGGCGACTTTTATGCTTTGAAAACTTAAAGAAAAAAAATAGATTAACTTCAGGCCTGACATGTGAAAGTGTGTGTGGACTTGCTGCCGTGATTGTGTGTGTGTGCGTGTGTGAGTGGACAGCCTTCGTCTGGTGTGTGAATATACTGTGTGCATATGATTAGCAGAAAGAAAGCCACTGAGAACCTGAGAAGCAGAGAGGCTGAGTGGAGGCGGCAGACCCATTTGTTCCTGATCAAAGTTGAAACCAAAGTCTTTTTCAAAAGCAAACCAAATCAATCTAAAATGATTGCTTGGATGATTCGCGGTCTTTGTTCTCTGCCTGTGTTATGGGTGATTGTGGAAGTAGCCCTGCTTGTTCATAATAGCTTCTTCCAGTTTGTCCTCAGGTTAAGGTAGAAAGACAAATGTATATGTATTAGAGAAAATACCCATGTACATGTTCCTGATTGATCAGGCCAATTAGCTAAACACACCACATGCTATTGTTTTGATATTAAAAATCAGTCTACATCTGTCCCAAATGGAGCTAGGCTACTTCACAAAGCAGATGATAATTTATCCAGGATAGTCCCATTGAAATTTTGAATCTCTTTTACAAGGGGGTCCTGGTCAAGGCAGCATCGTAAATAAAAAACACACAAAAACACAGATAACAGACAAAGCAGCAAACAGTTAAAAAACAGCGTAAAAACAAAAAAATTCACATTTCAGAGACGACAGTCTTAAAACAAATTCCATTTCAGGTTCTGAATCTATCACAAGGGAATTTTAAGCTTCAGGGAATCAAACTCTACAAAGTTCATGCACACCAGAAAGTCCTTGACAGGTGCTTCAAATCAAAAACTTACTGTGAAAGAACTTAGAAAACCCACTTCTCTTCATCAGATAAAAATTATAAAGAAAGTCCTCGAGTTTTTGGCATTTTCAGCGTATTAAATAGGAAGTATAGAGTCAGACAGGAAACACAGACTGACTTTGTAAGGACTATTGTAAAGTCACCTGTAGTACAGCGTCTATTTAAAGTTATAGCTTTGTGATAATGCCAACTGCAGGACCACACGTAGGGTAAGTTACATAAAGAATCGGAGTCAGTAATCCTTCCATAATGTAATGTCTCCGTCCTTCATCGAGAATAACCCAATATCCTTTCATGCATTCGCCTCGTTCCTCACCAGTTGTTTGCAGCTTGTGAAACACGTTGCTAAGTAGCTCCCTGTGTGCATCATCTCCGAAGAGGAGGGACCGTGCAAAAACATTTCCTCAGTGTCAGTAATTAAAAAAGCAATTTGCACAAATGCAAACTAATTCAGAGTCAGCAGAGTGAAGGGGCTGGCCACCGCCTGTTCTGTGCGCCGGAGGACTTAGGCCCGCAGCCTTCCTGCCGTGCCATTGGAGTTTGAATTAAAGCCTCAAGACTCAGTGACACAACGAACAGCCGGTGAAAACTCCCATTTCCTGCTACATGTGGGACCCCCTGTAGAGCTCCTCTCTTCCCCTGTCAATAGAAATCAGGAAATAATAGAGCATAGTTAAGGATTTGAGACTTTGTGTCTTTTTGTGAGCAGGCTTTTGAAAAGCATAAACAAGTGAGCACCGAGCTAGAGGAATAGATATTCCACCTCCTTTCATGTGCTCTTGCGATTTATTTAGAGAAAGAAACCTCCTTGCTGAGAGAGTCTTTTCCATATTGTCTTTAGCAGCCATTGTACCTTATGTGATTTCACTCACCGTGTTTTCTCTAATCTTTTGAGCTCCAGGCAAGTTTTATTGTTTTACTCATTTGTCTTTTTTCCACGGTGTGCTCATTCCTGCGATTCGCAATGAAGATTAATACCCTCAAACCCAATGGATTAAAATGTGTCACTAGATTTTATGTAGTTTCCTATTAAAATGCCTTCAAGTCACTGTAGTGGAATACACAGCTATGCGTCTCCTTATAAAAGTCGATTTGTGTGATTAAACCAAGGCTTATGGAGGGGCTTGATGTAATGACTTTTTCCCTGCTTCAGTCAAATTGCCGTCGCAGTCTCCCGACAGAGTCATTCGACTATCAGCACCCAGACGTCCACCATCACACAGAGCTTGATACTACGGGGACATCTCACCTCTTAGCCTTGAAGAAATGATGGAAAAATGAATAAAGCTGGAACACACACCAGCGTGCTTGTTCTTAAGTGTTGATGTGCCAGTTTAGTGTCACTGCCCTAGTGGCAGTAATTGACAATAATAAATGGGTAGGTGCTAAGATAGTAGCTGCAGGAATCTACTGTTTATTAATAGCAATTGAACATCTGCCTCTGATTGAAAAGGGTCCAACGGGAGTGCTGATTCCTCCAAGTTGCCCAGAAGAAATATTACAGCCGTGGAAGGAGACATTAAACCGCCCCCTTCAGTACCTATTGACATTGTACATTCACATGATGTACGAGCATCTTTATCATCCTCAATGGCTTTCACCAATTAACGAGTTGCAAATTCAGCAGAAACAATGTCCCAGTATTGATATCCATATTTCCTCGTGCAGCACAGTGTCGTATGAGAACCAGTCTGCCTAGTAAAGAGGATTAAGTTGACTGTAGTTCATTTCATGGCTCAGTGTTTATGTGCAGAATAGTGGATTAAAGGACTGATCCGCAGATTTAAGGCCGGACAAAACTGCATGGAGCCCTATATTCCTCCTCGGCTTGTCAGGGGGTCAGCGAGCTCAGACAGAAGTCTGTATGTTACATCATGACCACCTGCAGCGAGAGGGGTGGCAGGTTCAGATCCCAGCTGGTGGTCTGACTGGAACACGTGGACTTCATGTACTTGTCTAAATTAAATATATGTCCGGACACGGCCCAGGTTCTAGTGGAGCCTTCAGCAAAAGAAACATCCCCAACTTTCTTTTGCCCCCTTCTTTGACTAGCACTTTATCCTTGATCTTGAAGGTCAAGATTCCTCCTCTTTTCTTCCCCTCTTCCTACTCTTCGTCTTTTCCCCAAAGTGCCCGAGGTGCTCCTCGCTCTGTGAGATTAGCAGCTAATCCATGAAAGGTAGCGGATTGGTTGTGCTCTCCCTTTGAATGTTATTAAAGAAGGCTGTCCTGAGGTGTGTGTATACGCTAGGTGTACATGTGCATGCGTGCGCTTGTGTGCATGCAGGGTGTGTGTCCTTGGTCTAATCCTGTGATAACCAGACCTGGGCCCCTGAGGCAGAGGAATGGAGGGAGGGCTGGGCGCAGAAGGGGATGAAAGGATGGACAGGGGCCAAAGGTGGAGCAGGGGGGGTTGACAACAACAGAGATCAGAAAAGAAGACTTTCAGCCTGACTACTGAAAGGGTATGGCATGGGGGGGTTGCATAAACACAGTTTTTGCTCTATTTTTCCGTGACATCCAAATATTCGGCTTTGATTTAAGCATGAGCAGTAGGACTTAAGGAAGATTAGCGGCGCTAAGGCCTCAGCTAATGGGGGTCCAGTTAATAAACAATAAACAATTGCAGCTGATAGGAAGCTAATGCTGCTAGAGATTTGGCATTTAAAAGGTGTTCTGTGGAATGTTCTTGTAAACTAAGAAAAGTTATGTTAAATTTCAGGGTTTTCTGACCAAAACACATTATGTGTATCCTCGAGGTCTAACAAAAAGGTTAAATGCATTCTCTTTTTGCAGAGACAATTAGGAAAGAAACCTGCATTGTTTATATCCATTTTGCTAGCTTGAAGCTTTCTTCTTACTTGCCTTCATCGGCACATTGCTATATTTCTTGATACGTTGCCGCCTGTCGATCAAATAATGTCGAAATATGTCCAAACAATCAGAATTTTATGCTCTGCAATGTGTCATTGTTTCGTGCTTTTGTATTTTTTCCCATCCTTTGTCACCCTTGCAGTCAAGTTTCCCCTAACAAAAGTATCTTACGATCCTCGTCCTTACTGGCTTGTAAGTGTGAAGTTCAAGTCGAGGCCACAATGTTTTCAGGAAAGCAGCCTGAGGTCAGACCTCGCTGAGGCTGCTGTTGTTTTGACAGAGGGTGGAGGGAGTCAAGCGGGGGGGGGGGGAACGGCCAGCTCCAGAGAGAGATCCCTGGTGACAGGTTGTTCATAATTGATTGTTTATCTGTCAGCAGCCCGAGCAGCAGCAGTCAGCAAGGAAATACCTCACTAACACACACACACACACACGCGCACAAAGAACACCTGGCGGCTGTACTGCTCTGTCTGTTCAGACTGATGGCTGGCTGTTCCCTGCTCTGGCAGATGTGACCTTGTGAAAAGAAGCCACCATATTCTCTTTCCTGTCCCCTGTGCCCCTGTTACTGTTTTTATATGCCCATGAGCAGACTTTAATTCTGCCCAACAGCAGGTGAGTGTGTGTGCGTGTGTGAGATGCAGCAACAAGAGCAGAGCAGCGGGCCCCTCCTAAGTGCCCTTCAATCCATCTCACACACACACACATCACACCCTCGATGGAGGAGCTCATCACAATGTCACTTTCAATTTGGATGAGCCCACGGTCTGTTCAGGAGATATAATGGATTGGATGACAGCAGGGAAATACATGATGCGGCTCAGGTCTCCTGCAACAAGCATTCATGTTTCTGATCCTCTCACCCTTCAGGTGCCATCTTTCAGTCCTCGAACCTCACTGTCTTTCACAATTGCATGCGTTTAAAAAGCTGTGGGAAGTTGTGGGAAGTTTACCAATATGTAGGTACTGCATACAAAAAGTATCGTATCTCTGTGGTTGAGGAAGGCTCCTGAGATCTGCTTAATGTCTGAACTAAATGTGCAAGAGGAAACGGCTGAGAGAATATAATGCATTTCTGTTCCCCGTCAGGCGCAGTGCGGCGCAGAAATTCCCGAAAATAACAAGAAAGAGGGCAATGTTGCCCCCAGATTAGCAGTGAAGTCTTTCTGTGTGTGTTTTCCAAGAGTGGTAACCTTTTCTAAGAGATTCACTTGACTGCGTGTCCTTTGAAAGTTCTCTCTGCACTGTAAACACATGGTAATACGAAATGAAAAAAAAAAAGTCTGGCTAAATCACTAAATGTTTTCCAAATAAGAGATCGCTGTTGCAAAAAGACTTTTCATGATCGTTTTTTTTTTTTGCACCCTTTTGGGATACAGAACTGTTAAAAAGGAAAAAGGTTAAAACAAGTCCACAAAGTTTTTCTGCACTTCAGCTAATGTAGTGCTCGGTAAGCAAGTACTTATCAGAAACATTATGTGAATCTCCAAATACGATAGACGAGTATTTTTCTTTTGTGTGTCTCAGAGGGATAAAGATCTGCCTTTGTGTTCAGACGCAGACGAAGGGCGGGCCTTAAAGTGCTTGTTCATACAGCAGGAGAGAGGGCTTAAATGATTTGCAATTCTTTAACTGTTTAGTTTAAATCTTGAGCCAGCACCAGATGAGAATTTCCATCGCTTTTGCAGTGACAGTATCCTGGTTGCATTAGGGATTAGAAATAAAAACATAAGAGACATCTCACCACGTAAACAAACATGGGAACCCAGAATAAGGCCAGGATGGTTCAGTAAGTCGGTGCACTGTGATGGACTCCAGTTTAAGGAGGGTAAACATTCATCCGTGGTGCGAAATGTTTGAAACACAGCAATGGAGTCGGTAACAGAAAAATTAGGAATTATTCAAAAAGAGTCAAGTGTGTTGTCTGGTGTGATTCAAGCCATAAACTACTGACATCATGCACCTCTTTGACAGCCGAACATAATGTTATTTCAAATCAGTAAAACATTCAGAGCAGCCTCCACAGAAATCAGACCATGTCTTTTCCGAGCTCACGGCTTCTTAACAATAATATTTGAAGAAGAAACACCACGGTCTGATCTGATCATAAAAAAACAAGAAAACGTCTCCCTTGTAGCTTCAATAAGGTTACATCATTCAATTTTTTAAGAAGCCTATTAAAACATTTTGTTCCCTTCTGTAAAAGATGGCAATTAAGTGTGACAGTCCTTATCATCCATTACATTTCTGTCTTATAAATGTAACACAAGATGTGAGATGTATAATGACAAGAAGACCACTTAAAAAAGTCCACCATTAGCAACCTGTAGCCTTAATGCTCTGCTCTCCTTTATTTGGGTTGCATTATCCGTCCTCTATGAGGATATTATGGTAACAAAGGCGCTAAACAGTTTTAGTTCCATTTGTTTGTTAGAAACACGCATTACTCTGTGGAGAAACATTAAAATCCATCGTACACGGTATGGCTTTATAATCCCACACCGGGTATTATAATCCTTTCATTCGCCTGTGCGGGTTTACAGTAGATAGTATCGTACTTTATGGTTCCATCAAGATATTTTAACATGTTTTTTACACCACTAAAATGAACTTGTAGCCCTCGTATCTCATGTTTCTCTTTCACCGAGTATTGATTTCCCTGTAAATATGAAGACAATACACTTTTCCTCCTATTTTCCACATGCTACACCTGTTTGAACTTGCTTTCTGCTTTTTCTCCACATTGACTTTATGTTATCATAACACTATTTGTATTGTTTGAATTTTATAGTAGTCGATTATTCTCTAGTCCTTCATTACATTTTTTTTTGAACCACCTTATTTTGTCTCTTCTCCTGTTAGAGGGGAAGAGATTGGTTCTCCAGTTGGATGCAGTATGTAGTCATGGGCTGTAGCCATTAGTCAAGCTTCTCAGTGCGATATTCATAATGAACCATATCACTAACTCCACAGCAGCACCAGCGATGAGAGCTTGGGAGTCACGGTCCTAAGGGGACAGTCCGTTAATGCTCGGGTGAAACTCACAGAAAACATTGCTCTTGGTACTTAACAGCCAATTGTGCCATTGTACAACACTCAAACTAAAGACCAGCGGCCCATGAATGCAAAATACAACGCCTCATTACTGTACACGTCTATGTGCAAATGCAGGAGCGTATTGTCAGTCGTTAACTCAGATTCATAATTGAGACCAATCCATACTGCATATTGTGCCAAAAAAATTAACAACAAATTACAGCAAAACATCTGAAACAATGTTCCATGACGGATCACGATGGGAGACAGAGAAATGGCTCGTCCTCCTGTCGGCTGTTTGTCACTGATGTGTTAACACCAGACTCAGAGCTGTCTAACTATCAAGTCATTTAATCCAAGACTGAGTCTTAAATCACTTTCTCTTAATGGAAAGCAAAACAAATTACCAGCCAGATTGATCATCCCTCATATTTACAAGGACAACATTCAGTATTTTTTAATCAAGTGTTATTTTCTTGATAGTGGGCGTGTGAAGATGGGAGTATAATGACAACAAGTTTCACTGCTGAATTTTTCCACATGCTTTTATCAGAATGTATATATAACAAGCTTGTTTGCGGTGACGCCCGTTGTGTTGTTTTTTGTCTTCAGAGCATGACGAGTGCCTCAGCGGGCTCCACAACTGCAATGAGAACGCCCTGTGCTTTAACATGGTCGGAGGCCACAGCTGCTCCTGTAAGCCGGGCTACACTGGCAATGGGACGGTCTGCAAAGGTAAGCAGCACCATGTAAACTTGGAAGGCACCAAAAATATCATTGCAGTGGTGAAACATATGTCAGGCAGTCTATGCTCTCCAAATAAAATCTGCCACAAAAAATGGTCTCTTTCCAAAGCACAGCTCAAGTTATTAAGAATCATCCATCCGGAAGAATTGATCAGAAATGAAGGACATTTTGCTCAGATGTGGCGTCATTAAATTATCATATAATGAGCAATAAAACATGGAATGGAATCTTCAATGTCACGTAAATCAAATAATAAACAGTCTTCTCTCGTCAGGGAGGCCATTAAACACGCCTGTTTCTATAGCTAATGGTAATGTACCGAAACGTAACTGTGCACACAGATATCTCTGACTTTTAGTTCAATTCTGCTTCACACAAGGCTCTTCACTGTCGTTGTTCTCTGACTGAGGTTTTGTGACCACCTTCCCTTTTACACGAGGAACAATTTGAACTGAGTACCATTAATATTACACCGCAATCTCTTTTGAAAAATACAAAATAAATCAATCTTACAAAATAAGTCAGGGATGCCCTGCAAAATAAGTCCTGGTTAAAGATATTTCTAGTGAGCAGTTTTTCAGGCATATTCACGAGTCTGTTCCATAGTCGAATCCTCTCACATTAGTTCCCCAACCTCATATCACCGCCATGAAAACCGTGTTGTGGTTGTACTCAGTGAAAAGCCTTCTGTGACCCAGGTTTAATGAGAGCTTCTCTCCGTGCGTTGCTCTATTTGTAATCTATGCTCTTACTAGAAAATTGGCTTGACCTTAGCCGGTTCATCAATCCCTTGATTAGAAATCTATTTATAGGGGAAGTGCAGCTATTTTCTGACTAAAGATCATTTTCCTTGTCATCGGGTGCACTAATCATCCTGTGAAAACGTTTTTTAGTTTTCTCTAGCTTTCATGAAGCCCAAGCTGATGTCAAATTACTTCTTTTCCCCAATCAACAGGCTAAAAAAACTAAAATTGTTGAGTTTTCTATTGAGTAAGACAAAGAATTGATTAAAGAGATCAATCGCTTGTCAAAATAGTTACTGATCATTGTTCGGTTAATCGAATAATCAACAATACTAAATTGTTGGAGTGCCTCTTTAACAAAATCTGAAGCACTGTGTGGTGCTCCTTTTACTGGAGAGGGCTTCTTCCGTTTGTGATGCATTTTATTCCTTATTCTAGGGAAGCAGAGTATAATTTGTGTATAAATTTAATTTGATTCCATTGCATTATGTCAACTTCAATGACTTCTCTTTGTTTTGGGGACATATTAACTAACAGTCTCTCCATGGATAATGAACATTTTAAAATTAACCTTGGTGAGAAGCATTAATCAAGCGAAATAATATCGTGAGAGCCTGTAATGAATCAACGCACCAAATTAGCTCTTATTCTGTATGCAAATACATATGCTGCTGCTGGTCTAATTACATAGTTAATGCTCGTTAATCTTTGTGAGTAATGGCTCTTCTCGTCTGGTCTACCTCTAGCTATGTGTGACGGATTGTGCCAGAATGGGGGAACCTGCGTCTCACCTAACAACTGCGTTTGCCAGCAAGGATTTACGGGCAAGAGGTGCGAGACAGGTAAGAGTTCATTTCAGTTCCACTCCTACATTTCTCTCCTCAAAAAGAGCTCAAGCAAGACCTTTGACTGAATCTGCGTGAAGGGACTAGAAACGGGAGGAAGAGGTGATATAAAGCGAGGAGGTGTTTTATTTTCTTGTAATCTAGCCGGAAAGGAACTAACGATAAGAGCAGGGGCGTTACTGTAGAGCGGTAATTAAGATTGCAGTTGTTGCTTTAGTTATCTGGGCACGGGCTTTTGTTTAACAAGGTATTGATCATTCTAACTTTGTATAGCTGCCTTTGCGCTGACCCCGACAAAACAGCTGACAGCAAAACATCTGTAAACGCGTAGATGTTTTAGTGTTCACAATCTCCTATATTCACTGTGTGTGTGTGTGTGTTTGAACGTGTTTGTGGCTGTGTGTGTGTGTGTGTGTGTGTGTGTGTGTGTGTGTGTGTGTGTGTCCACAAGTGCATCTGACTGTGTGGGTTTGCACTCCATGGTGAATGATGAGTTTGTACCTCTTCCAATGGCCCGATGGAGGATTTGAACTGCAGTTGCAGCAGTATGGGAATTACCTCATATTAATCAGCATGGCATTTTTCCTCATAGGCACCATGCCACATCCAAATTACCACTGCACAAACTCCTGATGCACGATATCCAATAGGGTATGATGGCTTAACCGAGTATTAAGTCAGTCTGTGTTTATAGCAAAGAACATATCACTGCTTGCCTTCATGCATGGAGATATGTCAAACACAACATTGTGATAAGACTCGAGGCTTTGGATGCTATTCGGTGTGTTTTCCCCTCCAGTGCTGGTGATTTAAGTCAACAAGAAAGGCTGTAATCCTGGTAGTTGTGCTAGACGAGCCAAATGTCTAATCTATAGCAGCAACACCTTTCTCATAACCCGTTTCAACCTTTTGTGGAGTGTCCTTGAGGAGACAAGCGGCCGAGCTAATAGAAAGTCAAGTCATGACGGTTCTCTCAGTGTGTGTGTGTGTGTGCTTGTGTTTGAGTGAAGCAAACTGAGCTTCTCTGCTTGCTCATTGGTTCGGGTATTGATTGCACATAAAGGACCTTTTTTTTACGAGGCGTCCTTTTTACTGCTCGCTTTAAAGTAAATGAATTTCCTCATGGTGGTGCTCTGAGAAGCTGAGGAAGGGGAGTAGTGTGTGTGTGTGTGTGTGTGTGTGTGTGCGTGTGTGTGTGTGTGTGTAAAGCTACTGAGAATGTGTTAACACACCTAACCATAATGACTTATCATCCTTCCCGTTTTGCAGCAGAGAGTTCTGAGGACCTCGTTCCTTAGTAATAGCATGGTCCAGGCAATCACACATTTCATTACCTTCTATAGTGTTTTAGATCCCTGCCTTTCACTCTTTGTCTCCCTCTCTCACTTTACTCTCTTTTGTGTCCCGCGTCTCAAAAAACAGTCACAGAAGAGTCCATCAAAGGAGGAATCTTCTAAAACGTACAAAAGATTTGTCCAAGGCTATTCTATTCATCAGTCGGTCTCCAAAAAGCTCTAAAAATGAATGCGTTTTGTAGGAAACGTCTTTGTTGTGGAGTACGTTTTTTAAATATTTCTATTTTCATCAGATCAATCATATCATGGTTAGGTTTTAGATTTGTTCTTAAATGATGGATATCTCTGTCCACAAAAAAGAAAATTAATTCCCTAAAAAGTCAAAGCACACAAGTACAGAATTTTAAAAGCCCATTGAAGTGGCTACATGAAAAACAAGAACAAGACCAACAGACAAGAATTTATTAAAAGCTTCAATCAAACACAGGAGAATTTAGCTCCATCATTACACCAATAATCAGTAAATATCACACAATGTCACAGATAAGGGACATTTCTGTCATGTCCAAGAAGCACAGCCTCATTTATTTTTTATCTATAGGAAATTCCCAAAACTTAAATTTTAGAAAAAGAATGAAACTTGATGCAACTCCTTTTTTTGATTTGTAGGTTTTCTGATGATTTCTTCCTTCACCCCAATTTATTGCAGGTGAATTAAATATTGTTTATGGTGGTCACAACATTAAAAACGTTGTGGTTTTTAAGGAGGTTATGTGCTGCACCAGTGAAGTGACCACTGACTCCAGTAAGTCATTTCTTACACTTAGCCAGTTGTTTAAACCGTCTGACAGAGCTAAGTTATCAGTTAGCCAATATGTCTCTATGCTATGCTAACTGTCTCCTGTCTACAGCGCCATATTTAACATACAAATATGAGAGGGGCATCTCTTTCTTAAGAAAGTGAACCAGCATGATTCCAAAAGTGTTGAACAAGAAGTGAGTGATATAGTCTACTGTGTTTTGGATGAACCAGCCCTTTGAGTCGTTCTTTTCTCCATTCGATGTAAGAAAAATAACTGTTTGCAAACCCATTTCTCCATTAATTCACTTGTCTCTTTCTTAACCACACCATGAGGGAAATAAGGGGATGAGAGATTGGTGGCTCAGGGATCGGAGTGTTTTTTAGGCTCCCCCTCCGCTCATCATTGAGGCTGATTAGAATTCGAGGTACGGGACGCAAACACAAACAAACAAGCGCTTGCACGCACGCCGAATCTCTCGCGCGCTCCTCATGCCTCAGGCGACAAGATGTTTGTCACCACTGCTGCCGCTTCAGTGCGCATCTCTCTCCTCCCTCTCACTATTTGGCTTCTTCCCATTCTCGTCAGCTCTGTGACAGCTGCCATCGTCATGTGCTAATTTTTTCCTCAGGTTTAGTAGTCCAGGACCACCGTCAGGGCCCCATGCTACAGGGCCAAAGCCTCTGGCACCGTTTAGAGACTTCAGCAGTCAGTCAGTGCGAAAGGGGGAGTCCGTCTTATTGTCTCCTCGCAGTGTGACAGTAGCTCCCACTGAGGGAAGTGTCTACTGGTGAAGCTCACAGGAGGTTAATGTACACAGGAGGTTAATGTACTGTTGGATATGCTGCTCTGCTGGTGGGGAGGATGGGAAGGGAGCAGGGGGGTGAGAATGATAGTTTGGCGAGACGGGATGGAGACGTACCGAGAGAGTGGCAGATGCAAAATTCGAGGAGGGAGAGGAAAGAGAAGTAACGACCGGGAGGGGAGGGGGTGAGAGGAGGTGAAGTGGAAAGGAAGATACAGAGATGTTTGGAAAAACTGACAGATGCAGCGACGGAATGGGAAACGCAATGAGAGAGATGGGTGGTGGGAGGCCAGGGGTTAGTGGGTTTTCTCTGCATTTGGATGCGGAATGAGGCCGGTGGAGTCGGTGCAGCAGGAGGAGGAGAAGCGGAGCTGGGTGGATGAACATGGAAAAGCTTTCACTAAGGCTGGGCTCCCCACCCCCAGAACCTTGTGAGCTTTTAGAGGCCTCCCCAGGGACTCCAGCACTTCTGCTGCTGCAACAGCAGACTGACGGCCTGTCATAAGACACCGAACAGGAGTTCCTCAAGGCAGTGCGGATAGACACACGCACGCACACACATATTTACGTACGAGAAGGCGCTGAACAGTTTGCCGATTGTCAACGTGCCTCCCAATTTTGGATTATTGTACGTCGGTGTGTTGCAGTGTACGTATGCGTAATCATTTGTGTACATTTTTGTCTGTACAATTATGAGGATGCGTGTTAGTGTGTTTTCAGTTTGAGTTAAGATCTTCTTGTGACTGAATGTGTGCGCTTGGTGGCTTGTCATTACCATTCAAGGGGAATGGATGGGGAGGGACAGGGGACACGCATTGCTGACAGACACCAGCTAGCGGAGAACTCTGACACATCATGAATTATGCAGGACACAGCTGCGGCAGGGCACATACTCTTCAGTCGTGGATATAAATGTACGCAGGGCCAGCCATGTAATGTGTGCCCCGAACATGCTGCACAGTCAATGTGTTAGCCTCAGGCTAGCTCCACTCCTTATATGGCTTGGGTGAGAGATGGGCAAATGCTGGAATATTAGGTTTTCAGCAAAATAGGCGTCCATTAACTTCTCCAGATACACGTTACTACTACGTTATTAGGATGTTTCAGAGTAAAGTATGTCTGTTAAAGCCTCTGATGGTTCTTGTTCAACCTGCTCGCGTTCGAATGCCAGCTAGAATGAGTCAGGTTATTATTTTCTGTGATTGATGACTTACCTGTAAATGAATTTCTCTGATGTGGTAAAATCAACTCATGTTGACGATGCGGTCAGTGTACTATTTGGTTGTAAATCCTATTTTATATCCCGTTTCATTTGGGTTCATGTTGCAGGTAATATCTTTTGTTTTGACATTTAATAGGTGCAGAGAAGCAAAGTTGCCACAATGTTTTGACCCTGGCCTTATTTCCCAATACATATTTAGACCCTTAATATACATAAACATGCAAAGCATACTTTAAAACAGGCAAACGAGAGCTTAGAACCATTGAGCACACAATGTAAATGTAGTCTAAGTTAGTCAACAATCACATGCTTCCAGCTCGCAGCTTCAAATGATGTGCATAGTTTAAAAAAACTCAACACTAAAAGCAAGAAAGGAAGATATTGAAAGAGAGAACAGAAGATCAGGAAAAGTGGCACTATGGCAAAATGAGATTAATATAAAATTGAAGGCATAGGTTTAGGCAATGTAAGTAAAAAAAACCATTCACTTAAAGGGTGCACTGAAAAAGACTGATTAAATACAGGTACTGTAGCTTTACACCTCTGTCCATTGAAATGTATCCATCATTGTGAAGGCTGCTCTGGATGTCTTTGCACTGGGTGCTTTTTGCAAAACCGATGAAGAAGAGGCTTTGGAAATTCTCAGAACATGCACAATTCATGGCCATTAGATGCAAATCAACGATTTTATCAATATTTCCTTGAAAAGCAGGTTAAATTCTTCTTTTCCACGGTCATTTCCATTTTCTAGCCTGACGGGGCTATTTACTTATGCATTGTTTAAAGATATTCACTCATGTTGCATAAAACCCCACTTACATACACATAGTCTTGATAACAGTACAGGCGAAACGATAAAATACAACGAAACCGTA